GTAAGGGGGAAACATACATGGAGTCAATTCTAGGTCTATATGCATTTCAGTGTAAGAGATCACAGTTAACAGATTTTCTCTGTTCATATAGAAAAAAGCTTTTCTTCTAGTTTAGGGATACTCACAAGGTTGCGGGTAGATAATATCAGTTTACTTACATGATTCATTTATACCTTGCCTTGTTTCAGGAGGAATTTAAGACAGCTTACAAAAATACATAAAATATATTATTAGCAAGGTGGAAGTTAAAAGTGGGAGCTAAAGAATAAAGAAAAACGAGAATGGAACCATAAAATGGAAGTAAGAAATGTGTATCTTCATGAATTATGTGTGTGTGTGTTTCTGTATTCCCCCACACACATCTATAATCTAACATCTAAATTTCAAAAGGGGAAACATACTTAGTTACTAAGTTCTGCATCATTACGTAAAAGTAATTATGCTAATTTCCATAAGACAAAAGAAAACCTTAACTATTTTTGGTACTAAGACCAGACAGGAATTTCTCTCAGAGAAGGATCTTCATAAAAAGAATCTTGATATAATGAGCAAATTCTTTGACAGCATTTTTATAGGCGATACCATTGCAATTTTAATAGGTTTTTAAATATGCTCATTGCATCATATCAAAAATCAGTTTCAGTAAAAAAAAGTCCCACAGGGAACCAGTACATAAAACCAGGCTGGTTTTATGTTGATATAGTTGGATCCAGGAGTAGAATTTTAAATGTTTGGAAGAATGAACACACTGTATGTTCTTCAAGCTATTTTCCCTCAATACTATTTCTCTCAAACAAGATTTTGATAAAGATAGTATGGCAGTGAGTTTGGCATTATATTCTCTAACAAACTCCCGGAAAATACCTATTTGATGATGTTCATTTGAATTCAGATCAGACCTATTGGTTATAATAGACCATTGATCTGAGGGGAGAAATGACACTCTTTTCTGAAAGCTTATGAGTCTTTCATCTTGGACAACCACCTTATTAAATTTTTTGTACAATGAAACATACTTGCTAATAATTTTGTTATTGAATTTCTACATGCAGAAAATTGGAGATTCATACCGTGGCTACTGTGTAAGTGAGACTGAATTAGAAAGTGTCCTAACATTTCATAAGCAGCAAACACAGAGTGTTTGGGGGACTCGCCAATCTCCGAGCCCAGCCAAGCCGGCTACACGCTTGATGTGGAAATCCCAGTATGTCCCATATGATGGAATTCCATTTGTCAATGCAGGTACTTTCTAAAAGAGTTATTTTAAAAGGTTTAGAAGCAGCCATGATTCGTTATGACAATGTGATTTTGCTAAGGTGATACATTTTCATTTTGGTAGATGACAACTGACTGTTAATTGATGAAAATGCATATATGAAAAGAAAGTTTACAGCAAACATAACCAAATATTTGTGTTGTAAAATTGTATTTTAATATATTAGGGTAAATAAATAATACTTTATACTAATAAACAAAGTAAAAAGTATTGAAATTCCAGCTTTATCTATTTAATAAAAATTAAACAATAGAGTGATTTTATTATTTTAAATATCTATAGCTGGATGATTTTTTTTCCCCATCCAGTCCAGATACTCCCTCCTTCTCTCTTGTTTTGTGGAAAAAATCTGTGTCCATTTTATATAGCTTATAACCCTGGAGTTAATGGATATAGTTTGTATACAATCTGGAGTTATCATACAGAATTCTAAATGTTACAGTATTAGGGTTCTTAAGCATCAAGTATTCTCAAACACTGGGCTAGTGTTTTCTAAAGCAGTAGAGTTTCAAACAATTCCCAGAGAGTTCCTCTAGCACTAGTTAGACCCCCAAAAACCTAAGAATAAGTGATTTATTTCGTAACTGTGGGAGCACTGAGTCTACTGAAGAGTTGCAGCCTCATCCTGGACCTCTGAGGGTAAAGGGAACTACTTAGAGGAAGACGAAATAAGTGTAACGCCTTCTGCCCAGACTTAATTCTCCTCCCTAGTTCTAATACCTTCTTAACCCTCCACCGGCAGCCACTACATGAATTTGGTGTGTATTTTTCTAGTCCGTATTTGTATACTTTATCATGTATGTTTGTATTTATAATAATGTATTTTATTGTTTTGAATATTTTCAAGTATCCTCAAGTAATGAGCTGTAGACATTGTTAGGTAAACTTTTCACTCACTCTTATTTTTTGATATCTATTCATATTAATACTTATAGATCCTAGTTAGTCTAATGTAATTATTTTATAATTTAATATTATGGAATATTAAACTATTATTTACATTTGGTCATTCTAGCATTATTTTTCTAATACTCATTTAGGTTTTTTCCAACTTTTCAATATTACAAAAAATGCTTTAGTCTAACCTCCACAGTATACATTTTCTGTTGAAAAGTTGTAAGTAGTTTTTCTAAAGTGTATGCATTAAAGTGGAGTTGCTGAGTTGTGAAGCGTGCTCATTTTGTCTTTTCAAGAATATCTCAAATTGCTCTGTAAAGTGGTCCAAAAATCCCTCTCTAAATTTTTTTTGGCCAGATGTATTTCAGAATTCTGAATTTTTGGAATGTAATATGGTAATATTACAGAATACTCCTAGCAAGTATTCTGTAAACAATATCACATAATCAAACACAGTAGTGCTTTATGTATAGTCACACTAAGAGAAATAAAAAAGTCTGTAAATAGCTTCATAAAGTTCAGGTCAGGTTTTGCAACCAAATGAATCCCCCCAAATTTTTTTTCCTTGCTTTTTAAATTTGAAAATCATACAACCTGCATCAGTTTTTAGTCCTTTTAACAATGTAGGAAAATTTCCCTTTCCTATGTTTGTTCTATGACTTAGTGTTGTCAGATTTTTTTAAATCTTTATACTATGGAAATTTTCATATGCATGTCAAAGTAGAGGTAGTAATATGTGAACTATCATAACTCCATGTATCCATCAGTTTCAGCAAGCATCAGTATATGGTCAGCCTTGTGTCATTCATACCCCTACCCACTTCTTCATTCTCCATCCACAAGACGATCTTACAGGAAATTCCAGATACCGTTTCATCTGTAATTGTTAAAGTCTATAGTGTATACTGAAGTACATACCTGAAATATAAGGACTCTTTATATATATATAAATATAACGACAATCTCATTATCACCCTTTAAAAGAATTAACAAAATTTAAAAGAATTTTTGTCATATATTATGCAGTGTTCACATTTCTCCACTTACAATTCTTCTTGCATAGGTTTGTTCACATTCACGTGCAAATAAAGTTCATGGTTCAGATTTGGTTAATGTATCTCTTAAATTTCTTCTCATCTAAAAATTTCTCTCCTCTTTTCCCCCAGGTAGTTTGTCCTGTAGAGTTTGCCATATTCAGAATTTTGCTGATTCCATCTCTGTGGTGTTTTTAAGCTTGTTCTTTTAATCTCCTGTATTTCTTGTGAACTGTTAGATTTTGGGGTTTGATAAATGAAGATTTAATCTTCATTAAAGTATTTTGCAAGAATAATTCTTAGGTGTGCTGTGGACTTCTTATTGTTAACCTATGTGGTATTTATAATGTTGAGATTGATCAGCGGATTCAGTTATTTTAGAGTATTATCAATTTTTTTTGTTTTTGACAATCTGAAGAGTGTGAGATAGTGTTTTATTATTGTTTTAATTTCCATTTCTTTTTTGCTAGTGAAGTTGAACATCTTTTTATTTATTTAAAATCATTTTCTTTTCTTTCTGAATTGCCTGCTCATAGCCTTTGCTCATTTTTTTTTTTACTAGTTTGCTCTTATTTTTTTAAAGTTATTTATAGTTCTTTCTATTCAGCATATTCTTTGTTTTATGTAGTATAAAATACTGTTTCCAAAACTGGGTTTTCCCACATTATTTATGGTGTCTTTTAAATAGTAGTTGAAAATTATAGTATCAGCTTTATCAACATTTTTATTTATGATTGGTGTTTTTGGTTTTATATTTGAAAAGTTTGCTGTACCTTACATAGATTAGGATATTCAACTTAAAATCTTAAATTATATAGTTTCCACATCTGTTTATTTGTATTATCCATTGCAGTGTAACAAATTACCCCAAATATGGTGGTTGAAAATAGCAAACATTTATTGTCTCAGTTTCTGTGGGTCAGGAATCTAAGAGTGGCTTAGCAAGGTGGTTCTGCCCCAGGCCCCTCACAAGACTGCAGTTAGGTGCTGGCTGGAGCTGCAGTCCTCTCATGGCTTGACTTGGGGAGAATCTGCTTCCAAGCTCACTCATGTGGCTGTTTGCAGGCCTTATTCCTTGCCACGTGGGTCTCTCCACATGATATCTGATTTCACCCAGATATAACAGTCCAAGCAAGAGCAAGAAATTACCCAAGAAGTCAGAGTCCTTTTATAACCTAGTATCAAAAATAGTATCCTGTCACTTCTGCCATATTCATTTGAAGTAAATTAGTAAGTCTATCCCATGCTCATGGGGAAGGAGTTACACAAAGACACAAGTACTATGAGGCAGTGGTCATTGGGGGCCATCTTAGAAACTGGTAATCGCATTATTCTGACAACTCAAATAGAAATATAGAAATAATTATAAAAGGAAATAAAAGGTTAAATAATATTAATGTTTACTAACAAATGTAGCATTTACTAATTTTTCCATTTATAAAATAGTAACCTTATTATTAAAAATCATATGTATGTAAATATCAGTTGACATTCAGTAAATGTGGTATTTGCCAATTTCCTTACCATAATTTGGTACATTTGGTAAGTATTAGAATAAATTTTTAAATTTATGTGTGTACATCTTAGTAAGACTTACTGATGTTTTCTCTCCTCTAAGGTTGTGTAATTGGAAGTATAGATTTTGTCATTGCCACCACCAAGTTATTTTTAATCTAGTATCCAGAACGGATGGATACTTGAATTAATATCAATAGTTGGTTTTGGCCCACAGGGAGTAGAGCTGTGGTAATGGAATGTCAGTATGGGCCAAGGAGAAAAGGTTTCCAGTTAAAAAAAATCAGTGAACAGGAAAGCAGATCTTGTCAGCTCTACAAAGCTACTTGTCCAGCTCGGTAAGCTTTACTTTCTTTTATTTCTTTTTTTATTAAGTCCTTGTTTTTGAATATACACATTTTATTAAGTTTTAGTGCCAAAAAGTATACAGTGAAATTTGTTTCCTCTTACCAGTGCTCCCCATGTCCCACTCTAAGGCATCAACTCTTACCAGTTTCTTGAGTAACTTTGTAGAAATACTCTGTATATATGCGTATAGATGTATACCCTACTTTACCCTCGAAAATGTTGAAGATTTCTGTAAAGATTACCAATATTTTTCTTTTCTTAAACTTAGATAGTATTGTACATTCTTTCCTGCTATGAATTTCCTGCAATTCACATTGATTTATTTCCATTCTGAATACCTATTGTGGTTATTTACTCCAAAACTATATGCTTCATACCAATGTGAATGTAGTGACATATACTACTATACACTTTTTTTTTGGTTCCCAATATATTTCAAAGCTGGCTCTATGTCTGTATATAAATGAACTGAGTCCTTCTTTTTATTGATTGATTTATAAATTGAGATATAATTGACATACAACATTATATTAATTTCTTGATTCCTTCTGTTTAATAGCCATATAATATTCCATTTATAGATGAATTATCATTAACTTAATTAGTCCTCCAGTGATGGACATGAAAGCTCTGAGAAGTATTCTTTATTATCATCTACAAAGCTGCAGTACACATTGTACCTATTTGTACACTTATATATCAGTGGAATAAATTTCTTAAAATTAACCTGCTAGGACAAAGGTTATTTTTTTTTATGTCAACAGTTATTGCAGAGTTTCTTCTTAAAGTGATTCTACCAATTATAGTCATACCAGCAATGTATAAGGCCGACCTAGTAAGTTTTATGTAGAATAGGACTGCCGAGTGGTCATTCCTCTGGGTGAGAATGAAAAATGTGAACCAATAAAAGGTTTTTATAATGTCCTTTACTAATATTCTTTTTTCATGCATTGAAAGTATTTTAAATTATAAAATAAAATGAAATTTAAAAATAAGATGTAAAGGTTGGATTTTGTTCAGCTTTGAAACATTTTATTCTAGCATTACATCTCATATCACAAACCTCAGTATTCTCAAGAAGTTTTGGGGGTTTTTTTTGAGCAGGGGGAGTAATTAAATTTATTTGTTTGTTTATTGGAGGTACTGGGGGTTGAACTCAGACCTTGTGCATGCTGAGCACGTGTTCTATCACTGAGCTATATCCTCCCTCCACTCAAGAAGTTTTTAAAGCCAATTAAGAAGGCTTTTCATGCTTAATCTCATCATGCTAACTTTAGACAATATTTAACCCTGACCATTAAACAAAAATTTCAACTTTTAAATATAAGCAATATAAAACTTTAGTGGTAACTTGGGAGAAAATCTCTGTATGTGAATAATTTTATTCTCTATCATTCTATAAGTGCTTTTTGAGTATCTACTTTGTGCCCAGCAACTTACATTGGGTGCCTTGGGAAGGAGGGAGACTAAAAGATGTATATGATTTTACTTAATCATGGGAAACTTAAAATATTGTTGGTAGGTCAGGAAACGAAAAACTATTAGAAAACATAATAGTAATGGATGTAGTATTAAATGTGGGGATTAGCTATCTTCAGAGAAGCAATATATCCAAGCAAATTCATAACAGGAAAGAAAGTACAACTTAACCTGGATACTGAAGTTTAGATTGAATTTGGGTAGGTAGAGAATTAGAGTGAAGCTATTATAAGCTAGGAGAATGATATAAAGATATGGTATGATTGTATATTTGATATCAGAGGAAGAAGGAACATTGAAAAGATAAACACAGGAAAAGCAATTTTATATTTGAAGTAATTAAAAGATGGGTAAATAAGCTAGCTAGAATCATATGGAATGCCTTGAACGTTGCTAAGAAATTTGTACTTGATTAAAGAGCCGATAGATTCTTCAACAGAGAAGTACAAATGTAAAGATTATTGTGGCATTGATATGTTAAGTGGATTTAAGAAATAAATGACTGGAGGCCCAGAGGCCCCAGAACGAGGGTATTAAAGTAGTCCTGGCATGAGGTGTTTAGATTCCAGGAGAATGGAGAAGAGACAGATCCAGGAGGAAAAAAAGCTAATATTCATAATACTTAGGTATTTTTACTAAGGTAATGATTATTGTTAATTTGCTAAGTATTATGCACTGAGAATATAGTTTATCTTTCACATAATCATCTAAATGCTTTCTAGATTAATAAAATTTTTTCTAAACTTTAATGCTTAAATTAAACTTCTGTTTGATTAGTTAGATTGTCTTGAGGTAATAGTATAATGAAACAAATTCTTCTTTTTCTTATAAAAAGGATTTACATTAAAAAGGTACAGAAATTTCCTGAATATAGAGTTCCTACAGATCCCAAAATTGACAGGAAAATAATCCGAATGGAGCAGGAGAAAGCCTTTAACATGCTAAAGAAGAACTTGGTAGATGCTCCCGGTGTTCTTAGGTATGACGTTTATATAGTTCTTTTATTTTACAAAATCATTAGCTCCATTGGCAAGAATTCTGTCTGTAAGGGAAATTATCTTTTCCAATTATTTCATTAAGAAGTGGATTTTATAAGGTAAATGTCTTACTAGTAGCTCTCTAGGTATTAAAATGATTTGCCACTGTATAGGCCATTGAGTGTATCAGCCAGATATGGTAGATAATTCTCACGAAAGAATTCTGTATACCATGTGGAAGTTTTTTGCCAAAATGACAAGTACATATTTAGCAACACATTTCATTATATATTTAGTACTTTGTTTCAGATACTTATTAGGAGCTGAACTTGCAGTCACCTGCATATTTTTTTAAAACCCATCTTTGATTACTTATGGCAGCCAGAAATGAACTCTAAGCCCTATATAAAATACTGTCTTATATCTTTTATGCTTCAAGTTTTTAAATAAGAAATATTAGCTTTCTTTCATACTTTCCTTTATGTGCCAGTCCAGGTAAAGATTTTGCAGTTGTATAATGGAGTTAAGTATGTGGAATATAGTTTTGTGTGATCTTTAGAAAGACTTCAGATATATGAAAAATGAGTACAGTCAATAATTAGATCCTTCAGTTTGGAAAATACTGCTTATAATTTTTAAGTAGGCTCCATGTCATGCAATAGTCATTGCAAGCACTTTGTATAAAAATAATTATTAGAACAGATCAGTTCATTTCCCTGCCATCTGTTTTTCGCACTGCGTGGCTATACAAGAGAACTATATTCTCCTTTTGGTTGATTCTCTTGCTTGTTGGGGCAACAGGAGCTGGAGTGTTGTGGAGGCAGTATGTTGAGTTCCTGTCAGAGAAGATTCTCTCACATAGCTCAGTTTTTTTTTAACATTTTTTTTTATTGAGTTATAGTCATTTTACAATGTTGTGTCAAATTCCAGTGTAGAGCACAATTTTTCACTTATACATGAACATACATATATTCATTGTCACATTCTTTTACTCTGTGAGCTACCACAAGATCTTGTATATATTTCCCTGTGCTGTACAGTATAATCTTGTTTATCTATTCTGCATTTTGAAATCCCAGCCTGTCCCTTCCCACCCCCTGCCCCCTTGGTAACCACAAGTTTGTATTCTATGTCTGTGAGTCTGTTTCTGTTTTGTGTTTATGGTTTGTTTGTTTGTTTTAGATTCTGCATATGAGCGATCTCATATGGTATTTTTCTTTCTCTTTCTGGCTTACTTCACTTAGAATGACATTCTCCAGGAACATCCATGTTGCTGCAAATGACTTTATGTTGTTGGTTTTTATGGCTGAAAGTATTCCATTGTATAAATATACCACATCCTCTTCATCCAGTCATCTGTTGATGGACATTTAGGCTGTTTCCATGTTTTGGCTATTGTAAATAGTGCTGCCACATAGCTCAGTTTTGATAGGCACTGAATTATATCCACTCTGGTTAGGAGGATTATAGATACAGCACAGAAGTTGTAACTTGGAGAAAAAATGGTAAAAGAATGGGAAAAATATATAATTAAAAAGGTGATGATTTTAAAAGTCTATCTTGAGGTAAAATTTACTTAATGTGAAATTTTAAATACTATTTTTATATATACTTTAATCATGCACCATCCTTAACTTTAGGGTCATAGTAAAAGTATGTAAAGGTTTATAAAGATCTTTATTTAATTGGATATAGCTTAGAGGAGTTAAGAGAAGACATTTTGGCTTTCATTTACATTTATTTTATTTATATTTAATGTATTTACATTTAAAAATTTATATCTACTTAATATTTTACAATAATATATAATTTTTCTTTAATTATTCCTTCTCTTGAAGAGTATTAATGTAAGTAACTATGATTTGTGCCTTCGTCTAGTAACATAATTTTAAACATTTTCTCTTGTCAGATGGTATGTACAGTTACCTACGCAGCAAGCTCATCAGTATCACGAATTAGAGACTCCCTGCCTCCCTCTGTCACCTTCCCCTTTTCCTATGTCTTCTCTTGAAGAAGAGGAAAGTGCAGTTAGAGATGAGAATTGTGCATTACCCTCACGTCTGCATCCTCAAGTAGCACATAAAATTCAAGAATTAGTATCACAGGGAATAGAACAAGTGTATGCAGTAAGAAAACAGCTAAGGTACAGTAGAAACAAATTGTTCTTCTACATTTTTCATTTTTGTTTGTTGGTTTAAATAATATACTCAACATTATAGACATTTTCCAGGATATATGCTATCAGAGTACGTAAGGAATATAGTTTAGTGATTTATTAAAATAATCTTATTTATGAACTGATCATTCTCAAGCAGATGCTTGGAAAGCCATGAGTAATGATTGAAATTACTCATTTGAGATATTCATTCTCATATTTGACAAATTGGACAACTTAAAAATGACATATACATTGAATTATGTACAAATACTTTTACAAAAATATTGTAGAACCAGAAATTTTAAAATGTAGGCCAGGATAGTTATTTTAAGCTATTTGAAATGCAGTTAAATTTTATTACAACAAAAGAATACTGTTAGTTTTTTGTCTCATGAAATTTTACATGTAGCACTCTGGTCTAATTTTATTGATAGGCAGGATGTAATTATTATTATTATTATTATATGGCACGTGCTGTGTGTGTGGCAGGGATTGTGCTAAGCACTTTGTATGCATCAATGCACTTATTGTTATGAGTCTATAAAGTTGGTGTATTTATCCTCATTTTGCAGACGAGGAGTTGGAGACTTAGAGCAGTTAAAGAACTGCCTTTGAGAAACGGGCAGAACTGAAATCTTGGTCTGGCTCTACAGCCTGTGCTCTTTGCCATGATTTCTGCTACTTCACTGTGTTCTACTTGTTATTGTATTGTCTGATCTGAACAACACAATGAGTATTTCCTAGGATTATTTCTTAATTAATACTTGGCTTTTTTATTTAGCAGCTTTCTTAGACTATTTATATTTATTTCCATTGGGCCATTGTTAGAACAGAGCCAAAATTTGGTAAAGCCATCCACTCTTTACTAAACCTAGATCTTAGGGACAGAGGTATAATACAGCTCTGCAACATGGTCTACTGAATGGAATGCACAAAACATATATATATATACTGAATTTTATGATTTCTTTTATATGTTTATCTTTTATACAGTTGTGTGTCAATGCTGCCTTTCATTTCTGTCTTCTTTTTTGTCTCCTTGTAAAATTTGAGCAGGTCATATTTCATATATTAATTGATGCTTTTTGGAAGCCATGAAACATGTTAATGTGCATAACCTCGGTGTACACCCAATCTTTCTTACTTTTTAGTAGGTGTATAACTGTGGGCAAATCACTTCTGTAGGCCTCAGTTCCCTCATCTGTAAAGTCAGAACGGTAATAGTACCTACCTGACAGGATTATAGTATAGGTTAAAGGAGATGCTAAGTATGAAGTGTTCAGTGCAATGCCTGACAGAGTAAGCATTCAAAAAAAAATTACACTTAAATTGAAAATAGTGATTTATTTAAATTCATAAAACAATCAAAGCTCACTCCAAAATATACAGGTGTTTAACCAATGAAAATATTACATTTCTTTAATCTGCAGGAATTTGATGACTTAATGTATGGGAGAAAAGTGGAAAAATATAAATTACTTATAAAACTATAAACTATACTTTATAGAAATTTATGCTAAAAGAGAACCTTTTTCATTTAATCTGAAGTAGATTGCTAGATTGTTTATGTTTTTATTCTATTTTATATCCTCCACAGAAAATTTGTGGAAAGGGAACTGTTCAAACCTGATGAGGTACCTGAAAGACATAATTTATCCTTTTTTCCAACTGTAAATGATATAAAAAATCACATCCATGAGGTACAGAAATCCTTGAGAAATGGAGATAATGTATATAACTCAGAGATTATTCCAGCAACGGTATGATTACAACTGTAATTCCTTGTTTTATTACAAAATCTTTCTCAGCTTCTATTACTATTTGGCCTACTGTGCATGGTTGCTATTAGGCCATATAAATAACTGTGATATAAGGAAAAATAGTAGTATCTTTTTCTTAAAATATAAACACAATGAACTCTCAGATGCTGATTTGACTAAACTTATTTTTATTACTCTCACAAGAAGAAATATCAGTAATATTCCAACCCTGACTGTAATAACAATAGTAGTCTTCACTTAAAAATCAACATATTTTAAATCTGTAAAAAGTATCTCTTATTCATTTAACAGATAGCTGTTGAGTGCATGCTGTGTATAACTCCACCTCTTTTTAAAATAGGTCAGTAGTTCAGACTTGAATACACAAAGTGATAATGTTGGTTCTGTTTGCCATCTATTGTTATAAATTTTACCTCATTCTGTGATACTATAGTCTTTCCCTGAAAAGTGGCCATTTCTATGAAAATTTTGCCTACTCGGAAGAGATTAATATCATTAACCAGAAACTACTAATTGTAATACAAACAGTGATTCAGGCATTAAAATCTCAGTAGCAATATCTTTTGCTCCCCATATTTTTACCTCTAAATTCAGTAACTGAATAGATTGAATTTTTTTTTTAGGTTAGAGCTACCATTCTTTTCTATCCAAAATTCTTCGTTATTCACTATCCAAAATTCAGGGACTGAAACAAATTTGTTTAGCAGTGGTCTTTGCCATCTTTGCCATCTACTTGCTATCCAAATTCTTGCTATCTAAACTTGGGAAGCTAATTTATTTGGATAGTTAAGTATACTTATGCTTTGAGAATGTGAACAAGGAAAGAGAGTAATTATAGTATAAAGCACATTTATACTATGACTGAATAAAATATGACAATTGCATTGCTATTTTAAAATAATTGTCAAGATAAATGCTTGAATTTTACTGAAGTTAATTTTCCCATTTCAGCTTCAATGGACTACAGATAGTGGGAATATTCTCAGAGAGACTGTAACAGTTACATTTGCAGAAGGTAGGTTATCTTGAATACTTTTGAGATATAAAATCAAATAATGTTAAAACTGGAAGACATAAGATATCTCACCTAATTTATCTCATCTAATTTATGAATAAGGAAACCACAGCCCAAAGAAGCAAGAGCAACTCTGTTAGGATTTATCAAAATATTTCCAGCTATTTGAATTTCCTCCTATATAATCAACTTTTATACTTCTTTATGATTGAAATTTTGAGGCTGATGATTACTAATACAGTTTACTATGCAGCTAAGCGAATTTTAATAGTAATAACACTAAGATACCTTGATCAGAAAACCATTGTCCTGACACAACATTGTAAAATGATTATAAATCAATAAAAAATGTTAAAAAAAGAAAACCATTGTCCATTTGTATGATTTGTTTTTTCTCATATGTTTTTATTCCTTTGTTCTCTCAATATTTCAAGCTTATTTCAGCCCTTTTTTTCTCTTCTCCAGATATGTCTTTCCTCTTCTTCTGCATGGCAAACTCCTCTCACTACTCAAATAGCAATCTCTTGGCTTTAAATGTGTCCTTTACTTCACTCCTTATGTAAAGTTAGATATTCACTCTTTTGTACTTACCTCTGCTTTAATGTGGTATTCTTTTGTTTATTATCCATACCTTTCATTATGATTTGAGGATTGTGTTTTATTCAAATGAATGTACCTAATTCTTAGCATAATGGCTGCTAAAAAGTTAATACCTGAAAAAATGCTTTAGAATAAGTTAATAATTACATATAATTATTTCTTTATTCTTCAGCTTATTAACCTTTAAGAGCCACTTAAAGAATTAGAATTAATTAATTTGTTCTGTGTATATTTAACTCTGTGATAAATGCTGAACATAAAAAAAAAGTAAGTTTCTTGCTTCATTGAATTTAGAGTTTAACAAGAGGAAAAGACCCCAAAGTATATTCTAATTAATTACTATTATGAATCGTGCCATGAGAGAGTTGTTCCAAGTTGGGAATGGGAATAGTGATAGAGACATATAACTTAGTCCAAAGAGTAGGGAAGGGACGCTTGAGAAAGTGACTTTTATTTTTTTATTTTTTATTTTTTTAACATTTTTTTATTGATTTATAATCATTTTACAATGTTATGTCAAATTCCAGTGTAGAGCACAATCCTTCTGCCATACGTGAACATATATACATTCATTGTCACATTTTTGAAAAAGTGACTTTTAAATTGAGAACTGAAGAATGAATAGGAATTTGCCAGTCAAAGGAATAGCATGTTTGAAGGCTAAACAAGAAAGAGCTTGCCATATCCAAGGAACTTAAGAAAGCTAGTGTGGTTTTAAGTATAGACAATGCTTGGAGATAAAAACCGGTAATTCAAAATAAGTTTAGGAGGCCCCTTCAGCTGTCCAAATGGGAGGTGATAGTGGGTTAGATTACAGTTGGTGGCATTTATACTAGAAATTGACAGATTAAGTTATTTAAAAAGTTGAATTCAAAGGCTTTGGTTCTCGATTGAATAGATGTGGGAGATAAAAGAGTGAGAATGATCTGGGATGATTTCTTGAGTTTCTTCCATGAGCAGCTGATAGTGGCATTTACTGAGCTCAGCAACCCCGACATAAGAACAGGGTATTGGTAGCAGGAGAGAAAAATAGATCATGAGATCAACTTTGGAAAAGCGTGAGTACCAGGCCATTTCAGTGTAGTGGATTGGGACAATGCCATATTGGAGTGGTTGAATAGTGAATGGGAGATGAATGAAGAGGTAGATACAATGTGGACCACTTTTTCAAAAAGTTTGCTATGAAGGGAGTATGGGTTTAAGGGAAGATATTTTAGGACAGGAGAGACCTGAGAGAGAGATGAAGATGAAGGTACTTGATAGCTTTTGTGAAGGGAAGTTGAGGACATTTCTATCTGATGGCTTCTCTTTTCTCTTTAAGAGTGCTAAGAATGAGAAAAGGTCTCAGGAAGGGTGGCCAGGATTTGAAGAAACTGGACATTAAACATCAAATTTAAAATAGAGTGAGAGAAACTTTGTAAGATTGTCATATGCGTGAAGATCCTATTGAGGCTGATGATCATGAGTTGGTATTAGTAGTAGCAACGAGTTTCTTCTTCAGTGGCAGTCATCTTTATGTGCATAGGCCCTGGAAGCCATTTTCATCTGGAATTAGGATTTTATCAAGGAGGGTAAGACCAAAGGATGGGGAGGCAAGGGAGTTTAGGGTATTTGCAAGAGAGTGACTAAAATCACAAACCCAGGACTCTACGCTGGATGGGGAGAGAATTTTATTAATGAAGATATTGATGGATCCGAAGAAAACTGAAAAGTCAATTAGCAGGAGGTTCACATGAGACTGAAGAACAATTGTGGTGGAGTACCTGAGAAAAATTCCTTGGAGAATAAGAGGTTGTGATCAGAGAATGGGCTGTTTGAATTAGAGCTTTTAGATATACAATACAGTCCAGGGTATGACCATAGTAGTGGGTGACTGCAGCAAAGTGAAGTGGAAAGACGATTAGAAATGAAGAAGGTAGGAAATGTGAAAGTGCCATTAATTCTCTCATCAGTCCTTTGAGGAAAATTCTCTTTTTATCCTGGTTTTACAGATGAGGAAACTGAAGTTTAAAAGCTGAGTTAAATAGCATATTGAAGATCACAGAGAAAAGTTAGCACTTAAATCCATTAATCCATTCTTGTCTCACATTGGGACCATTTTTAAAAATTACTCAGTTACATGGATGTAATATGCAATATGGAAGCAATATATAGTTGTTGATAATTGATTTTTGATTGACTTAAAGATATGAATATATTTGGATTAACATGTAAGAATTACATGAGAAGGACTCAAATTTCCTAAGGACAATTACTTAAAATATTGAGATATTTAGAAAAGAAAGACATCTTTACTCTTATTCATTTATTCCAAAATGAGTTATTGAAAGAAATTTAATATTATTATTGAAGGCCTGCTTTATGCCAGGCATTGTCCTAGGCATTAGGGCTACCAAAGATGAATTAAATTTGGTCTTTGTAACTGAGAGACTCAAAAGACTTTCCGTATCTGGAGAAATTTAGGTGTAGTTCAGCAACATAAAATAGAAAGTGGGCTAGATTAGAGTTATATTTATATAGAATCTTTCAAGGAAAAAAATAACTTCTCACATCCCATCCTATACATACTGAATTAAAATTACTAGAGGTTGAACCTAAGAATGTAATTTTTTTTTTTTTTAGTTTCCTTAGTTATTCTGATGATCTACTAAGTTCTGGGTATAGTGGACAAGCTCACCTCTTGAAGTCCTTTTCAAACTTTGCCGTTATTTCCTATTCCATTTCTGATAGTAGGGGTTGTAATAAAGTATGTCATAGAAGCCATAAAAATTATTTTGTTTTAATAGTTTATTTTTTATATAATACAGGAAATTCACCAGGAGAATCAATTTCCCCCAAAGTGGAAACAAATCAAACAAAGGATTCTTTGTCTCCAGAACCAACCCACTTGCTCTCCTCACTTTCCGCATTTCAGCCAAAAATATTCACACAACTACAGGTAAGTATCAAATGTAATAGCCAAATTTGAGGCCTTTATCTTTCTTCCTCAATTTCCCCTCGTCTCTTAGGAATTTTACAGAATTGTTATGGAATTACAATAATGATCGAAGATGTTGTCATCATTAATTTCCTGACTTTTTGATATCTTCATTTAAGATGATAATTTAAAAAATATGTTTTGATAAAGTTTGAATTGACAGCACATGCAATAAAACTTAGTTGTATTGCATTTCCTTTGATTCTTGTTTCTGTCCTCAGTTAATATTTGTTAGTAACTATACTCTCAGATTTTATTCCAATTTTGTGTCAAAAAAGTAGTATATTCGATGAGAAAATCACACGTAGTAAATTCAGACATTTTGATGTAACTCTTTTTGGTTTAAAAGGGTTTGCAGTTGCAACCAAGGTTCACTTCTGATGGATCACCAGCTCCGATATCAGTAAATAACCACCCCTCCTCTAGTCCTTCAAGACTTCTGGATTCAGTAGGAGGCGCTCTAATGAATAATAATTCTCTACTGCTTGGTCAGAGTCATAGCCTTCAAACAGATACATGCCTAACTGAAAACAATAGTATTGCCTCTACTGTGGGTAACCTTCCAGGACCAGATCAAAATCTGGTTGCCGTGGATCAGCTGGTGGAAGTTGGAGATGATGAGGATACAGAGAATCTGGAAAGAAGTGTTCATCGGATTCTGTTGGGAAATGTGCAGACCATTCCAGTACAGATTATAGACAGCCACTCAGCTCTTAGTAAGTTAAAATCATCTTATGATTTTATTTTTTTAAACTTTATGGACCATCATCACTATTACACTACAGAAAAAACTGTCATTTCTACCCAGTGGGTTTATAATATATAAATAGATCAAGTAAAACTAAAAGAGAAAGGGGAAAATTGCATGAGCGTGAGTTTAATACCTTTTAAATTTCTAATTTTTTCTTCTCTTATCAAAATTATTCATTCCCTAACTACTTAGTTTTACATGGAAAATCTGTGGTGATATGAAATCAGGAAAGTCATTTTAGAATGCATGAAAAAAATCAGAGAAACTCTAAAAGAAAAACTCTTTAGTGTATAATTTATTATGGGAAAAATGATACAAAGAAAAATGAAATGCAATTGGCAGATATAAAGGTTACAAAGAGGATTTTGATTTACAGATTTAAATGTTGAATTCTATGAATCAACTTGAAATGGAACTAGTTAGACTTGGAGACTTGGGTTTAATCCACGACTTTGTTTCCTTCACTTTGGAATGAACCCAGTCAACATAGGGATAAACTCTTTTAACTTCTACTTGACCTGTGTCGCCACTTCTCCCACAGATTGTTCTGCATTAGGCACTTCTGTGGGACAAGATTTGCAGTTTGCTTTGAAGAACAGAAGTCTTCAGAGAAATTATCCTTAGAACATGTATTTTCCTTCCATATGTGACATATTTCCTTCTAGAAAAGAATCATTGTCTTTTTAAATTGACGGGAAGTATTGCTTTTAAGAAAATTTATCCAGAGGGCTGTGGGCAGTTTTCTTTAAGAACTTTAGTAGAAGAGAGAGAAAGGGAATATGTATGAATTAATACTCACAACAACTCCATGAAATAGTTAGTGGTGTCCCTATTCTACACCTGTGGAAACCAAGGCTCTGGGAGATTAAGTAATTGCCAAAAGATCACATCTAGTAAGTGACAGAGAGAGGATTCAAACTCAGATCTGCCTTCTCTCTAAAACGTCTTTCCATTCTAAGATGCTTTCTCCCTGTGTTACGCCAACTTATATCTGGGAGCTCTAATTCAGATTGCTTTAAAGGAGACCCTCTTTGGATCTGAACTTGCATGATTTATCAAGTTAGATCCAAATTGATCTGAGGTTCTACTTCACTTGAATATGAATTCTTAGGTCACTGAAATCCATCCTCTGCTAGTTTTCTCGTTATGACTTGGGCAGAACTCCAACACACTCATATGTAACAAGTATTAGGTGTGTTCAACATACTTTTCTGAATAAATATGGTCCCCTTAACCTTGGTTCCTACAGCAATTGAAAAACCGATATTCCTGAGAAAGAGAAAGAAAGATTTTATTTTATCAGTTCACAGTAGTGTTGCTGGTACGCTATATTTATATTCATTTGGTTGCAAATACTTTGAAATTGGAATGCTAGGTGCATTCTGAAATGTTTTGTATTAGCAAACATTCACATAGCTCTGACTTAACTGTACAGAGCTATCATTTAAGATGTGGCATATTTTTTTCTGAAGTACTTATGAAGTGAAGTTTAAGGAGAACATTTTCCTTGATGTATGACCACATATGGAAACCATATGAGAATGGTAACACATCAGTGAATTTTTAGTATATATGCCTGACGTTTGCAAAGCAAATCATTTTCAAATAATGAGAGGCTTCCTGACTTTTATTCACACATGTTTTTAAAGACAGTTAAGTTTAAATTTGCGATATTCCTTATAAGTTTTTTAAATTATGGACTGCTTTTTGGTCAAAGTACCTTTTGAAGAGAACAACCATACAGTTTTCTTGGTCTCTTTTTTCCATACTGAAGGAATTTAATATGAATCGCTGTTAAGATGTCAGACACACTGAGTTCTCAAATACACCAACTGTTTTTCTAAATTACTTGGTTCTTTTTCCAAACTACTGCTTTTTGCATTGCTTCTAAATTCATATAATTCTAAAGATTCCAATGTTATAAACTATATTAACCCTTAGGGTTTTTCTTTTATGTTTGGTTTTAAAGTTGAAGAAAATCCAGAAGGTACCATTTCTGTGAACCAAGTTAAGCAAGAACCCAAAGAACCAGGATTGTCTATGGAAGCAAAAAAAAATTTGGACTGTAAGAAATTGTCTGCTACATAAATTATTGAAGCTTTTCAGAATTTACAACATCGGTGACTTCTGATGTTATAGAAAAGAAGGTGAATATTGTCAAAGAGCAGTATTGTGATAAGTGGACTGAAGACTGATTCAATGAGCAGCTTTAATTTAAAACTGATATATTTGTTGCCAATTCCCTATTTTTACGTTGAGATATTTTATTTCTTTTATTTTGTATAATTCTTATGTTTTCTGAGTATCTAATAAGGCCAGTATTTCAAAAGATCATCTGAAATTATCCATGGCAATATAGTCTGAACTCAAAATTTATCTAACTCATCCTCTGAAAAGATCTAATTTTGGTTCTTAAAAAAAATAACAAAAACAGTGTGCGAGTGTACATGTGTGTGTGATGACTTTTTTTAAGTTCTGAAAGAACTTACTCCTCCTTTAAAGTTGTGAAGAAAAATTTTAAATTGACAGGCAAATGAGAGAATATCTGTAGTCTGCCTCTTTTGGAAAGAAAAACAATAGATTTTACATCATAACATGAAGTCCAGCATTCACATCTGTGAAAACTATGTCATTGCATTTTAGCTTCTTCCATTCTAATTTTTATACTTCTAACTACAAACCAATAGCATACCAACGGTCATCTGGTAGAAATTTAGTGTCTTTGTAAATACTGAGAATTTTAACTTGAATTAATCAGCCAAACAAGAGAAATATATGTACATTGCATGGTTTTATATACAGTATTGTAGGTAAAATACTACTTATGAGTAAAAAAATATAGAAATTGAGCAGATTCAGAAAGAACAGTAGAATTCCCTGATGTTTACAGATAATTTGGGGGAACTTTTTGATATAAGTAGAGGATTTTTTTCCTATTTTATATTGAAGATTTAACTCTGGTTAGAAAAGAATTTGAGTTATTTTTATTTTTCCATGCCAGAGTTCCTAATGAATTGATGTTATTAGAATTTATAGTATTTCAAGGTAAGGTTTTAAGTTTAAAATTTAGCTCATATTTAAAACTTTATAACAACTGATGTGTTATATTTGCTTGTTGAGTAAGTATATTTACATCAAATACTGAGTAAGTACTAATCAGTATATTCATTATAAGCTTCTGTTTTCTGAAAGGTTGGGAAACTAGAAATGTCAATTATAACTTTCAAGAAACCAACCTAAAGGCTCCCCCCTTCCCCTGCCAGAGATCTTTTGTGGGTTTATTTACATTTTTACTTGAAAATAATAAGGATTTCAAATGAGTATTAGTGTTAAATATTCAAAGCATGCAGAATATAATATGAAATTCAACCTTAAGTGAATATGAATCTTTTTCAAGTATATTTACTTCAAATACTGAATAAGTATTAATCAGTATATTCATTATAAGCTACTGTTTTCTGGAAGGTTGGTAAGCTAGAAATGTCAATTATATCTGTCAAGATCAACCTAAAGGCTTTTTTTTCTCCCAAAGATCATTTGTGAGTATATTTAAATTTTTATTTAAAAGTAATAAGGATTTCAAATGGATATTAATGTTTAATATTTAAAGTGTGCAGCATATAATATAAAATTTAACATTAATACTTTACATGAATATAAATCTTTTTGGCTTTTCTAAGTCCAATCTCCCATTCTTAATTCACTTTAATTGTATCAGGTACACAACATGTATCTGTGAGTACATGTTGTATTAGAAGTGGATGGAATTCTAAAATTCCTTACTCTTTAGACTTATACCCTATTTAACATAAAATTCACTATTTATACCTCTATTTAATGCAAAGTTGATATTCAGTTACCTATATGATTTTTTAATAAGAATTGCTTTTCCCCTCTAAGAATTGATAATATTTGATGTCAGCGTTTATAGAGGCACACTGCCAAATCTATGTTATGCTTAGTTAAACACAACTCTGAGTTACCTCAAACCCAGATTTCTCTTAGTCTGTATATTCTTAAAGGAAGTTAAGTCCAAATTAATTTATGTTTTGTGTTGCATTGTGGGTAATATTTTCATTTGTTATTTCTAGTTTTTATGGAAAATTTTTTCAAGATTTTAAGTAACAGATATTCATCTTTCTATGATGATAATAATTTGTTATTAAATATTTCACCAATTGAACTATATTCCTTTGGAGACATTCCTTGCTTTTTGATGTTGAGTTGCTAAGGAGAAATGCTTGTTAAGATGCAAATGCTAGTCAGTTACCTATGAGGATGAGAGATGTCAGAGGATCCAGACTTTGGCAGTTGATCAAGAACAAAACATAGTTTAAAAATATTTCTCAGTTCATTTAATGTGAATGTCTCTTCTGATACTGTTTCTTTTTAATTGAGAAGACAGAAAGTTACAGTGCATCTTCCCCACAATCAAAAAAGCAATAGAGAAAAAAAAAGGATGAAGGAAGGTTTAAATCCCTAATTGTATACTCTTTTGGTTTTTAGGTAGAAACTGGAACTATCAATATTTTCATGTAAGTATTTCAATGAGTAGCTCTTTAAAAATGGTTTCTAAATTAGTTTTAAAAGATTCATTTGTCCTCGAATGCCTGTTCAGTCACAATATATCAGTATTGTATTTTAAAGATGCTTAGTATTGCTTTTTTAAAAGTATGTTTACACATTTTAAATATTCAGTTATTTTTTAAATGCACAGGATATTAAATACAGTGCATAAAAGTTTCAGTATTATATTTGGCATTCTCCTAGCAGCTCTACAGCAAAGTTTGAAATATGCTCTTTGGTGTCACATATTACAAGTTGTAATACCTGTAGTAGAAAGTTGGACATTCAAAATAAGCCATTAGAATTCATAATTACAGTTGAGCTTGTTTCTTCATTCAGTTTTCATGTTCCAAGCCTCCAAGTGGACATTATATATACTACAGTGAATTATAGATAAACACAGCCATGGTGGGTCTTTCCCTCAATATTAGTTTTCTGTGTAAGAAGTTAACATACATAAAAAGCTTTTATGTCTTATGCAAGGTAAATATTTTCTAAAAGTCACAAAAGTGATAGAAAATAGACTTGGGGACATTGTCCTGCATTAGAGTGTCTAATTTTGAGGCCTACCAGCTTGTTTTTCATCATTATATCCTATCAGAATACATACTTAATCATATGAATATGAGAAAGATGCTGTTTAATTTTGTACCAGGTTTTTATAAAAATTTTTAAATGTGTGTGTATATTTATATATATTGTAACTTAATGTATAGTGTCCTTGTTACAATGTAATTTTTTCATTAAAAAATCCTGTGTTTTTTTCTTAAACCTGTTAGTTCTCTTTTTATACTTTTCCTGGTCATAGAAGTAATTTTGTTCATCTTGAGGATGCTGAATAAACATGTTAGTACCACAGAACTTGGGCTACAGATTTATGTTAAGTTTAGAATCTGAATGGTTTTAGCCATAACTACCAGTAATTCCTGTTATGATTATGTTTGGGGATATATATATGCATGTAATGCTCTCAACTCAGCCAACCATCAACATTTTAAAACACTGCATATAATAAGGTATAAGTAATTCTTTTTTCCCTGTATTTTGGCATAGCAACATCTTCAAGTACAGTTTCGTATTTTTGGAGTGATGCCAGAAGTATGATTTAGAAAGGAGGGATCATTTATTTTTTCCTTTTTTGCTTTATTCCACTTTGCCTATTTTTCAGGACCATAGAAAATCTGAACTCTCTCCAGAGGGGGTGTGCATTGACTCTTCCCTAGCAACCAATTAGGCTTTAGACATCTTAAATGGTGTATTATTTCTATGTCTAGATATCTCTAACTCTACTTAATTAACTTACTGGTAATAGCAAAGCCTAGTATACTTTTGCCACATACTTGTTAGCTATGAATTCTATTGTTAAATAATACAAATATCCATTGGTGACTGAATTCTTAAAACTGACGGAATAAAATCAGAATTTTTGAAAATCTCATTTATTAATGGATCCTAAAACGATTGAGAAAAATAAAGTATGATGAATGGAAAACCTTTGAGAATGGGATATGGGTATTAGAGTGCAGGGTCTTGAGATGTTGTTTCAGGGTGCAAACCTACAACTAGTAGATATATGAGTCCTGGAGATCAAACGTACTGCATGGTGATTATAGTCAACATTACTGTATTGTCAATTTCAAAGTTGCTCATAGTCTAGATCGTATTGTTCTAACCTCAAAAAAGAAAAAAATACTTATGTAACATGATAGAGGTGTTAGCTAAAGCTACAGTGGTAATCATATTGTAATATATAAATTATCGAAGTAACACACTGTACACTCTAAGTGTCATACATCAATTATATCTCAGTTTAAAAAGAATTCTAAAACCAGAGGGAGGAGTGGGAATCAGGTATCCGCACAGATTTTATTTTTAAATATCTTTATTGAAGTATTTAATTGACACACAATAAGCTGTACATATTTAAAGTGTACAATTTGATAAGTTTTGATAAATGTATAGATCTATGAAATCATCACCAGTCAAGATAATGAACATATCTATCACCTTCAGAGGATTCCTAGTATCCCTTTGTAATCCATTTCCACTTCTCACTGCCTCCACTTCCACCCCACAATCCCCAAACAACTTAGTACTAAACTGCTTTCTGTCACTAGAGATCAACTTGCTATGTCTACAACTTTATAAAAATGAAATCATATAGTATGAGCCTTTTAAAAAAAATCTTTTGTCACTCAGCATAGTTATTTTGAGATTCGTCAGTGTCACAGATGTATGAATAGTTCATTTCTTTTTACTGCTGAGTAGTATCCCATTGTAGTAAAATACCATGATTTGTTTATCCATTCATCTGTTGATGGACATTGGGTTGTTTACAGTTCTTGGCTATTACAAATAAAGCGGCTGTGAACATTTGTGTAAGTCTTTGTATGGACATATGCTTTCATTTCTCTTGGGTAAATATCTAGGAGTAGAAAGGTTGGGTCATATGGTAGATATAAATTTAACTTTTTAAGAAACTCTCAAATGATTTTCCAGAGTGATTGTACCATTTTACATTCCAATCAGCAGTGTATGAGAGTTCCAGGTGCTCTGTATCCTAGCCAGCACTTGGTATAAACAGACTTTAAATTTTAGGTATTATAAGCTATGTAGTAGCAGCTCATTGTGGTTTTATTTTCCCTTTCTCTAATGACCAGTACTGTTGAGCATCTTCTCCTGTTTTATTTGCCATCTGTATACATTCCTTAATTGTCTGTTGAATCTTTTACCTATTTTTAAATTGAATTGTTATTTTCTTATTAAAGAGGTTTAAAAAGTATATTCTAGATAGAAGTCCATCGATAGAAATGTGATTTACAAAAAATTTCACCAGATCTGAAGCTTATCTTTTCACTCTCATAACTGATTCTTTCAAAGGGCAGAAGTTTTTTAATTGTGATGAATTCTATTTTGTCTTTTCTTTATGGATCATACATACATGTTGTATCTAAGAGATCTTTGCCTAACCTTAGATTAGACTTTCTCCTGTTTTCTTCTGGAAGTTTTATATCTTTGGATTTACATTTAGGTCCATGATCCATTTTGAGTTAATTTTTGTAAACACAGTACGAAGTATAGATTGACTTTTTTTTTCTTACAAATATCCATTTACTTTTTGAAAGGACTATACTTTCTCCAATAAATTGAGTTGTCGATGAAAAATTCATTCATCATATATATGTAGATCAGTTTCTGGACTCTGTTCTCTTCCAGATCTATTGTCTATCTCAGTGGTATCAGCTGGGGCAGTTTTTCCTCCAGGGGACATTTGGCAAAGTTTGGAGACTGTTTTGTCACAACTAGAGAGATACCACTGGTTTCTGGTAGATAGAAGCATTGTATGATGCATAGGACAGCTCCCACAACAAAGAATTATCTGGTCCAAAATGTTAATAGTACTGAGATTGAAAAACTGTGATCTATCTTGATACCAGTACCACACTGTCTTGATTATTATGCTTTATAATAAGTCTTGAAGTCGGGTAGTGTAAGTCCTTGAATCTTATTCTTCTTCTTCAATTTTGTCTTGGCTATTCTAAATCCTTCAGCTTTTCATGTGAATTTTAGAATCATCTTGTCAGTTTCTTGAAAAACAAACAAAACTCGATGGGATTTTGACTGGGATTATATAGAATATATAGATCAATTTGGGGGTAATTGAAATCTTAATATTGATTCTTTAATTTTTCTCTGCAATGTTTTACAGTTTTCAATGTAGAAGTCTCACATGTTTTTGGTCATATTTATCACTAAGACCTTATAAATGGTATTATTTTTAAATTTTAGGGTATCTGGTTTTTACATTAGTGTATAGAAATACAATTGATTTTTTGTTTGTTTCCATCTTATATCTTGCAGCCTTGTTGAACTCACTTATTAGTTCTAATAGCTTTTTGGTAGATCTATCAGATTTTCTACATGGATAATCATGTGTTTTACATCTTCCCTTCTACTCTGGATGCCTTTTATTTCTTTTTTCTCATCTATTACACTGGCTAGAACCTAAAGTAAGGTTTTGATCAGATGTTATTTGAGTGGACATCCTTGACTTGTTTCTGATCTTTCCCCATTAAATGTGATGTTAACCATAATTTCTACATAAAGTCCTTTATCAAATTGAGTGAGATTCTTTTTGTTTTTAGCTTGCCATGAGTTTTTATTAAGAATGGATATTTGATTTTGTCAAGTGCTTTTTCTGGGTATATTGAGATCATTGTTTGGTTTTTCTGTTTTTAGTCTCTCAATATGGCGAGAGGCTTTCTATTACAAGGGCAAAAAGCATTGCATCCTTGCATTTCTGGAATAGGTTATACTCATTCATCAGGATGCCTAATTCTGTTTTATATACTCTTGAATTTCAGTTACATTTAGTGTTATTATTGATATGATTGGGTTTCAGTCTTCCATCTTGTTAATTTGTTTTCTATTTGTCCCATCTGTACTTTGTTCCCCCTGTTTTTCTTTTTCTGTCTTATTTTGGTGCTTTTTTTATTATTATTCAGTATTACCTCTTTAACTGACTTATCAGCTATACCTCTTGTTATTTTAATAATTGCATTAGTGTTATACTGCACATCTTTTAACTATCATGGTCTGCCTTCAAGTACTTTTCCAACATTTCACATACAGTGTAAGACTCTTAGAATAGTAGACTTCCATTTTTTCTCTTCTCACCTTTGTGCTATTACTGTCATATATTTTATTTCTATATACCTTATCAACCCCACAGTATACTGTTATTATTTACACTTTAAAGAGAATAAAATAAATAAAAATCTTTATATTTACTCACATAGTTATTATTTCCGGTGTTCTTCATTTGCTTGTGTAGATCCATATTTAGTGTCATTTTTCCTTTTTACTTCCTTTAATATTCCTTTAAATGGAACTTCCTTTAACTTTTTTTTAGTAGGTCTGTTGCTTATGAATTTTTCAGATTTATCATGTCTGAGAAAGTCGTTATTTTGCCTTCATTTTTGAATGATATTTTTCCCTGGATAAAGAATTCCAAGTTAATAGTTTTATTTTAAAAATGTTGCTTCACTGTCTTTTACCTTGAATTATTTCCAGTGAGAAGTCTACTGTCACTCTTATCTTTGTTCCTTAGCATGTGTCTTT